GTTCAGGTGAAGAGGGAGCCACCAGATCTGGAGCATCGAAGACCACCTGCTGGAGCTGCTGTCCGAAATCTGGTGGATGAAGGACGGTTTAGCAATCTGACTCGCCTGGTTAAGACGATCGCCTGGGTCTGGAGGGCGGCAAAATGTTTTGCAGCTAAAAATAAGATCCTGGGAGATCCAAAGTGGGAGGCGGTTTCCTCAGCTAGGGTCATCACCACAACGGAGCGCCAAGATGCTTTAAGAGATCTTTTCCTTGCCACACAAGAGGGGGTGACCTTTCCAGCAACCACAATAGATCGGCTGGTAGTCTTCAAAGAGGAAGAAACCGGGTTACTAGTTTGTGGTGGACGAATCCAAGCCTTTAATGAAGACCGAGTTGGTGTCCCTCTCTTACCTTACAGCGCCTGGGTCTCAACATTGCTGGTTCAGGAAGCTCACAGCAAGGGTCACGAGGGTGTGGCTGCAACTCTGTTGAAGGTGAGGAAAAGAGCATGGGTCATCAAGGGACAAAGTATTGCTCGAAAAGTTATTGAGAAATGTATGGTCTGCAAGAAAGCCAGAGTGAAAAGATGTCAGCAGGTGATGGGAGATCTGCCTCAAGAGAGAACCAGGCCAGCATCTCCATTTGAGTTTACAGCAGTTGACCTGTTTGGACCCTATCAGGTCAAAGATGATGTGAGGAAAAGAGTCAAAATGAAAGTCTGGGGAGTCGTATTCTGCTGTATGGCCAGCAGAGCAATCCACACGGAGCTTGCCAACACAATGTCAACGGAAAGCTTCCTGATGGCTTATCAGAGGTTCACGACAATTAGAGGGCACCCTAAGAAAATATGGTCTGATCCTGGGACTAATTTTGTTGGTGCCAAGTCTGTTCTGAAGGAGTTGTATCAGTTCCTGGACAGCCTGGATAAGTCTGCTGTAGAGGATACTTCAGCTCAAAATGGAACTGACTGGCACTGGACAATCCTGCCAGCTGACTCACCTCATCGGAATGGCTCTGCTGAAGCATCTGTTCGGATGGTGAAGAAGGCGTTTCAAAGTCTGGGAAAAGAGTCAGGGCTCTGTTTCAGCGAGTTTCAGACGACGCTTCAGCTTGCCGCCAATCTGGCAAATGAGCGGCCCATTGATGCCAGGGTGCAGAGCCTTGAAGATACAGTGCAGTACATCACACCCAATACACTCCTGCTGGGACGAGCATCTGCAAATGGTGATTGGAAAACATTTGACTTCACAAGTTATCCCTATAAGAGGCTCCAGGAAATGCAGCATCAGGTCAACAAATTCTGGAGATCCTGGAGCCAACTTGCTGGTCCCAATCTTTTTGTGAGGAGCAAGTGGCACACTGCACAGAGGAATGTCGCAACAGGAGATATTGTGTGGATCTGTGATCAGAATGCATTGAGGGGCCACTTTAAGCTTGGAAGAGTCATCAGTGTCAACCCTGACTCCAGAAACATTGTGCGGGATGTGAATATTAGAGTTGTGGTGAGCTCCTGTATCCCGGAGGTGAGGCCTGAAACATCAGCATCCAAATTCCCTGCATCCAAGCATCGCGTCTCCAGTATTCGGGGGGACCTTCAGTCCACAATTCTTCACCGGGACGTTCGACGGTTGGTGGTCCTACTACCAGTGGAGGAGCAGGATGGGAGTCCAGGAGAAAATCTCTAACTACTAGTTCACTGTGTGCGATCTCTCCAGCGGTTTCCGTGGGAAGATCGAGTGGGAGGTGTCAAGCTGAGCTGCAGACCACGCCCTTTTTTCCCTGGTTGTGGTGCTTAGCTGCAGTCAGCTAGTTAGTCACCAGGTGAGAGGGATCTGGTAATTAGGAGATTTGGAGTCATTCACAGGATAGAAAGCAGGCTGGGAAGATGTGTTGAGGAACTGGAAAAAAATGAGACTGCAGGACTAAAGCTTGTCTGAACGAGGAAGGAGTCGGTGAGCGTTTGTTTGTTTGTGAAATGTGGTGGATTTTAATATTAAAGTGAATCATGTAATTATATTTAGGGAAAAAATGTTTGTATAAAACCATGTGTTTGAATTGTAAACTAAAGTGTTGTACATTTAACATCATGGAGATTTGAAGCATGGTTAAAAGTAATGTATTGTAAAGTTTAAAAGGGAAAAACTGTAAGTGTAGGATTGTGTTTGTAGAGGGTTAAAGTTGTTAGGATTTAAAGTTAAATTATGTGAGCAGTGATTTAAAATAAGTATTTTGATGTTGGATGGTGATGTTTATTATGGTTACCTGAGTTTATTATGTGTTTCATTGATTTACTTGTGTTTGTATTTAAGGTTTTTTACCTGCTTATGGCTACGACAACTTTCAAATAAAAGAAGGAAAAGAAAGAATTGATTCCTGGTCATTGAGTAAAATCCAGTCCAAACCTTCAGAGGCAAGCATACCCTATCAAGTGGGGGAAACTGCAGGGTTGAACTTCACTAAAGTGAATGCACTTGACAATTAATGACACAGTTCCTTTTTAGCCTTTCTCAAAAGGCTTAATGGATAAAAAAAACTTCTTCCACTTTCTTAGATTACAAATTTTCATGACAAATCAGAAGCATAACATGATTAAGGAAATACAATGTGCATCATCTCATCCTAGGATCCAAATAGCTACCTTAGCTTTGAAATTCCAAATAGCATTTTCCATTTATTTAATTATTCCATTTCCATTTAAGCACCACGAAGCTCCTGTAGAAGAAAATGTGTCTTTTGACCTCCTCTAGGTGTACCAATTAACTGCTATCATGCTATTTCAAAGACAGTAGTCTCATTTTAAAGACTAATTTACAGGCTCTCCAGGATTATAATATTTATTCATTTCATATCCAATGAAAGGAAGTTTTAAATCTGATTTGCTGGCGGCTGTTGTTAGTGTGGTATTTTTAGGTAGGGCTGCGTAAGGAGATTAAAATTGCTGTATGTTTTGCATTAATTTCTCTCACATAAAAAAATACACACAGTGTCTCCTTGCTGTCTGTCTGTCTGTCTGTCTCATTCTTCACTGAATTCGAACAGGTTTACATTTGCCAGAGGCCTTCAGGGTCTGGTCCAGCTACATTTCATCCTTAAATTGAATCCCCTCAGGCAGCACAACAGCAGAGCGAATATAAGCTCAACTTGATTGTTGTTGTCTGAATCCATTTTTGAAGGGGACAAGTGGAGAAAAACACAGCTGAGCATGCATATGCGAAAGACTAGAGGGCAAAGCAGGCTAAAAGAAAAGCTCACAGCTCAGGCAAAGAAAACATAAAATACAACTTGGAGACATTTCTCACCAAGGCTGTGTATGACAGGGGAAACTACACGTTGTCTATTAGATCAAACAGCTTCAGTCATTCATAATTCAGTGATTTCTTTGGGTTCACTTTTGACCATGAATATTCTGTCAAAACAGGTTTCAGCCTTGTTCTATGTATGTTTATATACACAAACTATGTTAATCATCTTAATACATATTTAAAAAAAAAAAACATTTCCACCCTACACAATTACTGTAAGATCCAGATGTGCATTACACTAATCAAGCTGGTGCCTTTCCTGCAGATAGAGGAAAATGCAGTGTAGTTATGTAACCACCCAAAGTGCAGTTGAAGGATAGTTCTCACCTCTTCTTTCATTCAGCACAAGTGAAAAACTGAAATAGGCAATCATTTCGCATCGAGCAGCGAGTATAATAAGCTGCCAGATACAAACCACATGCTGCAATGGCATTCACTATACTGTTAAACCTGCTAAAAAACAACACTCACTGAATCTATCAATAAATTCTTGCTTTCAAGGTAAAAATAGCAACGCTCTACACATGAGCACAAATAAAACCAACACAGAGGCATGCCGCTGGAATGAGATAGTATTTGATGTTATCTGCCCGAGTGAACACCAGCAGGCTTGCTCTCATTGCTCTCATATTTTACAAAGGCACTTTATAAGAAAACATGAAATAGAAACTCAAAATAATACTGTATTTTGAGAGGAAAACATTCTTAAGAAAACATAAACTCGAAACTTTCAAACTATATTCTGAGAGTTTCTAGTTTATGTCATTTAAACTGTCTTGTTATGAACTGTCTTTGGGGGTGCTAGAAATACCTGGTTCTTAAAAATACATTTAAGGAAGCACTGAGCGCTGAATAACATTTTTATAGGACTATAGTGACACAGAACAAGCTAAAAGGCAAATATTCAAAGTTCCCAGAGGGTGAATTATAAGGTTTTTGGTGGCCCCCCAACAGGATTATGAAACTCTAATGGTCGATTTACAGAGCAGAACACCACAGACAACTGAAGTCGTTTAGTCTTCTTAAAATAAGAACACTGAAGTACTAAACTACATACTGCAACTTAAATTTCAAGCATGCTTAAACAAAGGATACCTTCACTTTTAGTGAAATACAGTTTCACCCCCAGTTACAACCACTTTCAGTATTCAGTCCAGCCCTGGTACGTTCATCTTCTACTGACACAACTAAGCACTGCAGTTAAAGACAAAGGCGGTTTTAACATGGATTTAAATATGGAATCCATTTGCTATACTTGTGTTTTTATTCGGGGTGGTGTTCCTGAAGATTCCTAGTTCTTGAAGAGACTTTAAAGCTTTGTGTTATCTTGTGTATTTTGTTACCCTCGGTATTCTCCGACTTTCTTGTACTGTTCAACTGTCTCAGTCTCAGGTGGGTATCTGCTTACTTGAGCCAAGTTGAACTCTGCCAAGTACTTTTCTCCAAAGATACTTTGGTGTACAGGAACAAAAAGAGATAGAGGGGAAAGCATTGAGAAAGCAGCAGGAGAGAAGAGTGGGAAGGGGAGCATGTGCAGGGTTTCTGGAGTGCCTCTAGTACAGTCATTCTGTGTCCCAGCATTATCTCAGAGAAGACAGAGAGAGAGAGAAAGAGAGAGAGAGAGAGAGAGAGTGTGTGTAAGGGAGAACAGGAGGCTGGGAAGAATAAGGGGTCAGTCCAAGGATTGTCCTCGAAAGGAAAGGAACTACTTCTGCATATGTGTGTGTTATGTTTGCTTATATTGATGTTTAAGGTAATTTTTTCACACTGTACACAGAGGACATAATAATCTGCAGCCATGAGTCGGACCACTTTCTTTGAGGTAAGTCTAAATTTATAGTAGCTAAGTGTCAGACCACCTCTACCACTTTCTGAATTTAAAAATTGGTTCATTGTGTTTCACAAGGCCTCAAGAGACTCACATTGAGCAATTTTTAATAGAAATCAAATAGAATATGGGAAATCATTAGTGCAGTTGAATTATTAATGTCTTCTTTTTCAAAATTTTTATGATTTTAAGTTTTGGAAACATCTTCAAAAGCTAACTAACCAACTGATTTCATCAGACATTGAACACAACAAATGGAACAATACTTAGCTGACATCATGACGTTTTAAATGAGCATTATGATACTTCTTATGTTAGAAAGACACAATTATAACTTGCTGAATTCCATAGACCTTAAAGTGTCAGTAGAGTTTATAAAAAAAACTGAATCTGAGCCTTTTTCTTGATATTTCTCTTGCCTTCAGTCTTTTTTCACAAGGCCCTATGAGTACTAATAAAGAAGTACATAAGTAATTTGCTGTAAGTGCAGCAGGTTTATAAACTCTAGCTAATTTACAACAAGTACTGGGAAGTGTGCCATCTCAGTAACAGTTACATAAAGGCTGCAAGCCAAATTAGCAAATACAGATGGTGTGTGAGAAAAAAAAGTTTCTCAAGCCTGATCTTGTTTGGAGTTTAGATGATAAAATTGATCTACTCACGTGTCTACAGCCAGCAGCTGGTTAGCTTAGCAAAAAGACTGGACAGAGGCTGCTGAGTGAAGCTTCATATTGAATGGATCGATTGTCTCGTCAAAGTCTCAGCAAGACAGTGAATGCATGTATTTGTAGCCACCCAGTCAGAAGCTAGGCTCAAGTACATACTATATTGTTGTCGCATTGTAGATGTGATTTTTTGCACAATTCTGTCCACACAGGCTCATAAGTCAGGCTGCAGAAATCAGTATCCCGCTTGGACCAAAAAGCCTGGTCACTTTACTGTGTACATTATTAGTAATAGTACGTTTTAGTAGTAGTACCATGTAAAAGGTACAATCTTTTTTTCTAAGACAGATGCTGTGGAAAACATAAGGCAAACTGTAAACGGCAAACTGGCAGCATGCAAAGAGTCAGCTGAGTGCTTTGTTGATTACCTTCGTTGATTCTGTTCTGAGAGTGAAAGCAGGAAGGACGATGATATACGCAGGCCAGCCGTATGCAGCTAATCTGCTTCAACACTCTTCATGCTCATTGTTTGAAGTAATGATTCTGTGGTTCAAGATCAGCCATTACATTCATCAGCTTTCATATTAGGAGGAGCTATTACAGTTCAGAGAGACCTCTTCAGTTGGTATCCATTACTTGAATTATTAAAGCTAGAAAATAAAAAAACGGATCAGCACTGATGTCAAACTCATAAAGTTTGCATTCAGTATAAAGAGAAAATGTTCATTTGAATTTGAATTCCCCTCACATAGACAAAGCCGTGTGTATGTTTTGCATGACCTGTGCTGTCAGCAGTGCCCTGTACTCCCATGAGAGGGAAAGGGCATCTGATAATACAATTTACAAGGGCACAGCACAACCGAGTGCACACCACTTTACAACACACAGCCCTAATGACACCCTAGATGCTCTTTCGTAAACACGTGAATGCATCAACATGTGCCCCTACAATGCAGTTGGGAAGGTTAGCAGATGGAAAGCAAAACAAACCCATCTCCCAGGATGCACTTTCCTGAGACATCCTCCGTGTCCTGTGCTCAGATCCTGCAAAGCATGAACAAACACTGCAAGAAGTGACAAGATGAAATACTGATGTTTTATGCTAGAATTGTGAAGTGTATTGCAGAATATTTTTACCAGAAAATATTTTTTTCTGGTTTGAAAAACTTCAGAAGCGTGTCATTCGTTTAAAGAAAGGAGTAATGCAAACACAATTTCTTGTGAGTCAACAACTAGACTGTTGTAAAATAAGAAACACAAAAAACACAGGATTAAATAACTTACCAAACTTGTGTTTTTTGCAAGGCAAACAGCAGATGGTGTATGTATAAAGCTTTCTCTCTCTCTCCCATTCTCATTCTCTCTTTCTCGACTGTGCACTCAGCAGATCTTTAGGTATCCATTAGCGGGTTATTACACTGTCCAGTAAGGGAACCAATTTAGCTAGGACAGCTCTGCTGAGCAGCACAGTCTGGAGTGCTTTCAGGGCAAAATGTGGGCCGCCACACACCATCCTCCTTGCATATGCTGTACATCACCGCTGACATGGTCTAATTAAGATGAAAAAGATGTGTGTAAGAGAGCAGCAGGACAACACGATTTGCCCACCAGACTCATTGTTCAGATTCAGAATACTGTGTTTGAGCAGAAAAACTGGATATACTTGGCCGTTTAGGGCCAATGAGAAGTTATTTTTGTTGAACAAGTAATATGTAGACATATGCAGCCCAAGTAACATGTAGTTCAAACCATGCATGCTGAAAAGGGGCAAAAATTATATCTTTATTATAATATTGGTGTCTATATCATGAATGGTTTGTATTGTAAAGGAGTTAACATGCATTGTTGTTAGTATGTATTGATGGCGGTAAAGTGCTAAGTGGCTTACTGTATGAGAAAATGTATTATTTGTTTATTGTTTAATGTACTTATTATTTACTAGTTATTATTTACTTGTTATTAAATTACATAAATCAACACAGGTGTAAAGTTTATTCTGAGATGGATGTGAAAGCAGGTCCAGCTTTTACTCCCTGGGGTTTTGTTGCTGAGGATGTATGTAGAGTGCAAGTCGAGTCCACAGACCAAATTTACCGCATACTTAATTTCAAATGTATAAATATGTGGGCATGAATGAAAATGTGTGTGAAACTCACTACGTGGGTTTTGTGCTTTAAAAAGGTGGTGCATATTGTGTTTCCTTCAGGTGAAGGTCCTGGATGCCAAGACCAAAGAGCAGCTTTGTTTTTTAGATAAGGTATGCTGACATATTGCCATGACTAGTGTTTTTACCCTTTTGTTTCTCCTTAGGTAGTCCTTACACTGTCAACCTCTTCCCTGATAATTCATCAAGGTTACATACTTTGTGCTTTTATTCTGTTCAGGTGGAGCCCTACTCAACAATAGGAGACATCAAGAGCCTTTTTCACAAATCATGTGAGTGTTCATATGCAGATTTTATGTAAATCAATGACATAGGTATAGTGATACAGTCCCCTCTAAAAGTATTGGAACGGTAAGGCAAATTCCTTTGTTTTTGTTGTTCACTGAAGACATTTCGGTTTAAGTTAAAAAAAATGAGTATGAGACAAGAGTTCAGAATTTCAGCTTTCATTTCATGGTATTCACATCTAGAAGTGTTAAACAACTCAGGACATACAAACCTTTGTTTGAACCCACCCATGTTTCAAGTGAGCAAAACTATTGGAACATGTGACTGACAGATGTTTCTATTGTCCAGGTGTTGCCTTTTAGGGTGATTGTCCAAACATTAAATAGCTCTGCATGACTAGTCTAACTTTTCATCCTTGGTTCAAACCTATAAAGACTTAATTTCCTGTTAAAAAGGATAAACCAACATGAAGACCAGAGAGCTGTCTATGGGAGAAAAGCAAGCCATTGTCAAGCTGAGAAAAGAAGGAACATCGACCAGAGCCATTGGACAAACATTGGGCATAGCAAGCACAACAATTTGGAATGAAGAAACTACTTGAGTACTGAGCAACAGACGTTGAACAGGTCGGCCAAGGAAAACAACAGTAGTTGATGACAGAAATATTGTGAGAGCTGTGAAGAAAACCCCCAAAACATCAGTAAGTCACATCACCAACGACCTCCACAGTGCAGGGATGAAGGTATCACAATCCACTGTTGGAAGAAGACTCAGAGAGCAGAAATATAGAGGCCACACCACAAGATGCAAACCACTCATCAGCTGTAAGAGGGCCAGATTGAAATTTGCAAATAAGTACAGAGATGAGCCGCAAAAGTTCTGCAACACAATCTTATTGACTGATGAGACCAAGATTAATCTCTAGCAAAGTGATGGAAAGGCCAAAGTGTGGAGAAAGAAAGGAGCTGCTTATGATCCGAAGTATACAAGCTCATCTGTGAAGCATGGTGGAGGTAATGTCATGGCTCGAGCGTGCATGGCTGCTTCTGGAACAGGCTCATTAATATTTATTGATGATGTAACTGATGATGGTAGCAGCAGAATGAATTCAGAAGTGGACAGAAATATTTTGTCTGCCAATTTACGGAGAAATGCATTGAAACTAATTGGGAGGAAGTTTATCATGCAGCAGGACAATGACCCAAAGCACACTGCCAACAAAACAAAGGACTTCATCGGGGGGGAAAAGTGGAAGGTTTTAGACTGGCCAAGTCTATTAGCTGACCTTAACCCAGAGCATGCATTTCACCTCCTCAAAGCCCCCATCCAGCCAGTTTTAACTGACATTTTTGGTTAACGTTCTTTCTCAAACAGAGAGGCTGGAGTGTTCACTAACGATATGCTTTGTTAACATCACTACATTGTAAAGTTTAGTACACTTTACTGTCTGGCAGGAGTAGCTATTACTTATAGAAACTAATGTGCATGTATCAGCTGTTATCAATAATAGTAGACAGTCCTGTCACGCACTGCACACAATAACTCCCACTACGTTTTATGGTGCACTTACTTTACCGCGGGGGTGGGTGGGGGGGGTCTATTACTCTTTTGAACTGTATGTAAAGAATTCTGAAACCATTGTCTCCGCCGATGCGTTGGTAAAACGGCCGTCAGTAAAATGCATGTTGCAAGATGTTCATAAAACGGTGACAGGTGAAAGTGCAATGCGTTTTCTGTCATCTGTCCTCCAACACCGCACACACAGATGCCAAGAGGAGGAAACTAAAAAATAAAATCAAGACCCTCTGTTAGCTAACTATGCTAGCTAACTACACCTGGCTAACTACAACTTAGTTAACTTAGCTAACTAAACTAGAAAGACAAACCAACAATCAGACACAGAGAGACATACTTATAGACATAAGTTCTAAGTAAATTACAAGATAAATTGTTTAGCTAGCTCACAACGATGTTTATCGGTTTGATGCTCTGACTTAACGAGGCGTAACGGCGTGACAGTTTTTTAAGGAGGCATGACAGTGTGTCTGCGCAAGCTTGGAGAATGACTTATGACTTATGGAATTACTATAGTCATATGTCACCACCCCGTTTTAGCAACTAAGCAACTTTTGCAACTTTGAGGACAAAATTAAGCTATTTGTCAAAAAATATTTGGCAAACTATGTGGGTAATCAACATTGTAAGGAAGTGACTCAGAAAACTATGAAATATCATAGATATGTCAAAATACACTTGGAGGGGGGCTTTAGGGGGAGACTGAAGGAAGAAACACCCCAAAATAAACAAGAACTGAAAGAAGCTGCGGTAAAAGCCTGGGGTAGCATCACAAATGAAGAAGCCAACAGTTTGGTGATGTTGATGGGTCGCAGGCTTGAGGCAGTTATTGCAAGCAAGGGTTATGCCACCAAATATTAAATGTTATTTACTTTAAGATTATTTGTTCCAATACTTTTGCTCACCTAATTACAAACGGTAATGAAGTTGTTTAACACTAGTGATGTGCGGATTGATGTCTAAACTCAGTCATTTGGAGTGAGTGTGTGTTTTATTATAAGTATCTTACTGTCACCAGGATGGTCTAATTATACTCGGTTGATAGGAACTACTTTTCCTTCCGCCTGTCAAAGTCATGCTTGTGCTACGGCTCTGTGACGGAGCTTCTTTGAAGTGAGCCGCTGCAGCCCTTGCTGACTCTGGCTGACTGTAAAAACAGTCACGTCTGGCTGTACTCTAGCTGTGAAGGTAATAATGACGTTGTGTGTGATGTGTGTGCAAAGACAGTGAAATACTCTGGCAACACTGCAAACTTCGCTAAACATCTGAGATTAAGTCACAATAATTTAATGATGTTATGAAGTGGCAGTTCTGAGAAGGATATTTTTATTATAATTACAGAATATGACAGTAGTTTGATGTTTTGTCATTATGCAGCTATTATTTTGAATTGGTAAGGCTACAGCCTACTCCTTATTTCTCTCATAAATACAGAAATGGGAGGGAGGGGGAAGGTCACATTGAACTAGAAATAAAATATGTAAAAAGTATTGGTATCGGTATCGGCAATACCAGTCTGGGTATTACTTGGTATTGGATCGTATAGGAATAAAGTGGTATCACGCATCACTATTTAACAGATCTAGATGTGAATACCAGGAAATAAAAGCTGAAATTCTGAACTCTTGTCTCATACTCATCTTTTGATCTTAAACCCAAATGTCTTCAGTGAACAACAAAAACAAAGGAGTATTGGAAGTAGTAAAAAGTACTGGAACCTTACCATTCCAATATTTTTGGAGGGGACTGTATTTTGTGCAGTGTCTTGTATAGAACTCCAGTCCAGTTGTATAAAACCTGCAAGTGATATTACATTGCTGTTAGCATTACATTTGCACTCTCCATTTTCTAACACTGCTCACTTCTCCTCTACATGCTTTTAATATACACACAGATACTGTATAATATCTGTATATTATAACTCCAGTGTACATATTCTAAGATACTGCATAACTGCACTTCTGTATTTGTTTAAAATCACTATATTTCTGCACTTCTGGTTAAATTAACTGAATTTCATCAGCTCTGTACCCATAATCTGCATAATGACAGTAAAGTTGAATTTAATTTAATCTTCTAATCTAATCTAGCATTTTTTGCACAGTTTACTGTAAACTAAAACTTTAATTGTATGGTTCTTAGATATAGTGTTTAATAAACTTGCTATGCTACTGAGTGGATCATCTAACAGTGCATCATATCACACCACCTCCCCATAAAGAGATGTCCAGCTATTTCTTGTTTGCGTGTGTCTGGTCAGAAAAGTTACCAAATGTTTGCCAAGCCTGAGGCCGTCAGCATCCATCAGAGCAGCAGAGCTCAACGTTATTCCATTGTGATCAATTATTATTGGGCCTGAGGACAAAGCCTATGTGTGCAATGCTAGCTCTGTTCAACCCTGTATTTGTTTGTGTGTGTGTGTGTGTGTGTGTGTGTGTGTGTGTGTGTGTGTGTATGTGTTTTTGATCTGCTCAGATCCTCACTGGTATCCAGCAAGACAGGCCCTGAAGCTTGATCCCAGTAAGTAGCCAGGTTGTGATTATTTACTGTACGTGTGTGTATTTGTGTCTCAATACTAAAGCTGCACTATGTGGCTCCAAATTGCTGTGGGTGGTAACTATTTACTGTCTTGTCAAAATGTGGACCCCAGTACTCACAAATACTGTGTGGTAATGTCAGTAAACTGCAGACAGCATTCTTGTGTTTACCTTCCAGTCATCCAGCATATGAAGGTTTGTACAAAAAGAAGTGTTCAGCTGTGCTCACTCGCTATTATTTAGATGTGTTTAGATATTCTCAATAAAGTTTCTTTCCTGCAAAATGCAGCTGTAAATGTAATGTGTGACTTTTTTCCATGCAGCTCAGCTTTAGTTTTTTTAATAAAGAGCCCACTCTGTAAAAGGTGTGCAGTAATTAAACAGAATTCATAGAGATATGCCTCTACAGGCCCTGCTGTTTTGTCACACTGATTCAATTTGTGGCATGACTTAAGTTATGTTCAGTTAAGTGCAATGCAGCATCCCAAATAGTTCACGCCCACAATGTGAAGTGTCCAACCAACCAACCGACTGTTATAACCGACTAGGTGACTGGACTCAAAAGCAGACTCAAGGCACATTCAAATCCAGGAATTTAAAGTTTATTGAAAAGGGGTGTCAAAGACAAAGTAAGTACACACTCTCAAGAAATAAACAATAGAATATACTATACGAGATTTGTTGGACGCAGCGCAAATACCACTGAGGTAAGCTGACGATCTGGCGTGAGGTGAAGAACCAGGTTGATATACTGCAGAGTCTTGATTAGTAGAATGCAGATCAGGTGTGCAGGTGGAGGTGGAGAGCCAGGGCCAGAGAGAGAAGCCACACTCTGGGAGGGAGAAGAATATAGACACAAGGGGTAGGGAGGAGAACAGCAGACTCATAACTCCCTTTCTGGACTTTTTCGGTCTTTATATGACGTCACCTGACATTCACATATAAAATGACACGCCGTCACTGCACGATCTAAGTAAGTACAGACTATCCAACCAACCATCCATCCATCGTCAGCCGCTTATCCTGCGTACAGGGTCGCGGGGGGGGGGGCTGGGATACTGGAGCCTATCCCAGCTGACATTGGGCGAAAGGCGGGGTACACCCTGGACAGGTCGCCAGTCCATCGCAGGGCCCAGTACAGACTAAATGGTGTGAAATGATAAGTGAAAAGCAAAAACATTTGTTCTGATAACGCAATTAATTTAATTCATTAATTTAACACATTGGGGTGTTATTCATACGCCATTTGGTGATACCAGGCTAAAATGTTCGATAATAATTGCAATGGCCATAATTGCAACTGTGGGAGTGAGTGACAGCCATAAAAAGCACCCCACATCTTTATAGAGCCACCATCATTGTGGAAAACATTGTCCTTTATTTTCACCATAAAAAGGTAGACTGCAGAGCATCCTTTTCTCGTTCATGTTAGCCTAAATTTAAAAAGGCTAATGCAAAGCATGATGTACATAAAGAAAGACATAAGGTATGCTACAGGGCTTTTTTTTTTCTTGGTCTATGAGGACTATCCTGCTGCTAAAAAGCACAGAGTTAGAGACTTTGGGCTATGTGGGCCAGTTACCCCTAAGGATATTCTAAAAATGTCATCCAATTAGTTCAACATATTATCTGTGTCTATGCCCCCGTGAGCTTTCAGGTAGAGAGGACGTGCGCTGAAAAACTGATCAGACATTCATTAAAATGCTCTGCAACATCAGTTTAAGCAACAATGCTTTGCACAGGACTACTTGAATTTACTTAATCATACGTATATTCTATGGCTGGGCATGTTAACGCGTTATTATCACGTTAACGCATTAATTAATTAATTAAGAAATTAATTACTCACAAACAGCGAGGATCAGTCTCTCTTCCAATGATGTGTGCTGCGCGTCGCGTACAAACACTTCAAGACAATTCATACTGATACCTTTTCAGAAAAAAAACCTAGAAAACATTCATATATGTTAACCTGTTGCTCAGAAGGTTCCTGTAATGATGTTATGATCGTGGCTCTGGACTCTGATGGTAACTTGTTTTAACAAGCTATAAAAGGTTATGCCCTAGCAGTGGCTAATAGCTTTGGTTTAATATTTGATTTGATTACATTAATGTTTAAGTTGAGATTTACAAGAAATATTTTATTGCTACTGTGTAAAGGGAATACTGATGGTAAAAAGCAACTTATTTGTTAAGTGTTTGCAAACCACATGTTATTGCACTTTTGTGTATGTAGCTGTGCATAAAGTGCACAATACACTACTTTAGAATTCATTATCAATTTTGCGCATAACTATGTGATTAATGTTGATTATTTGCAGAAAATCATGTGATTAATCGTGATTTAAAAAATGTAATCATTGCCCAGCACTAGTATATTCATATGTGAAAGTCGAATTATGGTACAATTTTAAAACAAGCTTAATTTGTATAGATAAAATATTTTCCTGGGTTGTTTTTTGTCCTTCATTTTCAGAGGAAAAATCACTTAGAGACGATGAAATCTTACAGAATCTACCTGTTGGGACAACTGCAACAATGTACTTCAAAGATCTTGGCCCACAATTAGGTTGGACTATGGTATGAAAAGCAAACTCAGAGATTACTGATGTACGAAAACTGAAAAAAGAAATCAGTCTTTTCATATATATAAATAATAATAATAATAATACATTTTATGTGATGGCGCCTTTCATGGCATTGCCTACCAATTTTACTTATATGTGTCCTACACATTTGCTTTTGGTTGTTTGCATATAACCTTTGTAATATTGTTTTTAAAAACATTATAGTATACGGCGCCAGGTGGTGTCATGGAGAAAAATAACTACTTTGAGAGCTTGAATTACTCCAGTAGATATAGTACAAAGTGTTCTTTTTCTGTTCTCTTTTGTTTCCAGGTGTTCCTGGCAGAGTGCATTGGGCCCCTTCTCACCTACCTCCTCTTCTATTTTCGAGTCCCTTACATTTACTCACACAGATATGTCTTTACCTCCAGTCCCCATCCTGTTGTCACGTAGGTGGTAAAAAGAAACTTCAACTATAGCACTAGGCTATGTGTTGTAACCTGCAGACATGGTGCAACTTTACAGACATTAGTTTGATTCCTTTTATATAAAATAACCAGTTATAATAACAAGTTCAAAGGAATAGTTCCATGTTTTGGAAATTATGCATATTCACTTTCTTGTCAAGACTTAGATGAGAAGGCTGATAGCACTCTAATATAAAGGGTGAAGAGCTAGCCTGGTTAGCCAACAAATAGTCTGGCACAACTAATAGAGCCGCTAAGTTAGCTGTACAGCTAAGTGCACTAAATTGGTAACAGCACCTGATATGCTGCCCCCTATTTTTTGGAGTATGAATTTGCCAAGTGGAGAGTAGTCTCAATTCTTACACATTTCTCCTTTAAATGTACATATTTGTACTTCTGACCTCACATCCCTCCTCTGTCTCTCAGACTAGCATGCGCCTGTCATACCTTCCACTATATGAAGAGGTTGATAGAGACTATCTTTGTGCATCGTTTCTCCCATGGGACCATGCCTCTCAGGACAATAGTCAGGGTGAGGACATGACTACCCTTGAAAAGAAGACCTCTGATAATATGCTGACCTCTTTTACAATATGTGGCCTCGTTTTCCCTGTCCCATGCCTGCTGTTTTTAGGACTATTCTTTTGATACAGAATACAACAGTCTCAGAGCACAGTGTCTTTGATGAGGAGAGGTGTGATTTTAGATCTTCTATTTTGTGTGTTTTACTAGTTCAAAAATAGAAATCCAAAGTAAACAATGCCTTTGGATTTTAATTGATTAATTCATTGTACATCATGCAATGATGTTTTAAATTCAGGTTTTCACATATGTATACATCTGTATTGCTTGTTTCTGCTCTCAGAATTGTGCCTATTACTGGGGGTTCTCAGCTTGGTTGGCATACTATATCAACCACCCTCTTTATACACCTCCATGTAAGTCAGCACACGTGGGCACACACACACACACACACCTTTGTTTTTCTTCATATTCTGCAGCTTATCAATACCCGCCTATCTCTCTTCACAGCATATGGAGAACTACAAGTCAACTATGCATTAGTCATATTTGTGGTACGCATACATTCACTCAGGGGCAACATAAATTCATTGTACAGCAATGTATTACAGCAAGGTGTGAAATGCTTATTTCTTCTCTAGATGTGTGAACTGGGCAACTTCTCCATTCACTTGACTCTTAATAATCTCAGAGGAGAAGGTGAGTTGTTGAGCATTATTCTGTTGTCCCGATTTGATCATTTGAACACTACTTTGGTTGATCCACCATGGAAACAGGGATTAGATGTGTGCCTACAGTATATTTTCATAATGAAGAGAACTGCTGCATAAAATAAAATGTAAATGTTTTGTGTTGTTTTTTTTGTTTGTTTTTTTACAAAACCGTTTCTCAGGATCCAGGGTCAGAAGGTTTCCTATGCCAACTAAGAACCCCTTCACATGGCTATTTTTCTTTGTATCCTGTCCAAATTACACATATGAGGTAAGAGAAAGCATTCAGAAAAAAATATCATGGCAAAGAATATCTCCCATACTTTTGTATTTAACTCTCTGTCTGCCTGTATATTTGACAACTACTGTAGGTTGGCTCTTGGGTGGGCTTTTCCATCATGACCCAGTGTCTGCCAGGTATCTACATGACATTATACGTTTTCATGAACTACCGTAAATCTGCTTACTTCACCAGTAACAATAGTTGTACCAAAATGTATATGTTTTAATATTTGTATGTTTTGTATTTTAGTGGCATTGTATGCATTATTGGGATTCATTCAAATGACCATCTGGGCCAAAGGGAAGCACAGAGCCTACAGCAGGGAGTTCAAGGACTACCCCCCCCTCCGGATGGCCATTATTCCCCTGATTCTCTAATAGTGATCAAAACATTAAGTATTGTTGCATATAAGGGGTATATATCCCTACAATTGTTTTTCACTAAGCAAAGATGTTTGTTGCTGCTGAGTCCAGCACTATGCAAGTTTTTTATATCACTGAATGAATTGAAAGGAGTAAGAATGGGAGCAATAATATTATGGCAATAGCATTTAATAATAGCTGGGAACATTTTCATTTTCTGTTCAGTAAAATGGGTTTCAGGAGTATGATTTGGCATTGTGATATGAAGTTAATAACGATATTAGATAAAACTTTATAGCTGTCATCTTCTCCATACTGTGTTAACATAGGGTACACATAATCATTGGGTGTTTTCGCACCCTTCAAGACTTGACTAAAGGTTGGAAAGTGGCACATCAGCATTTTAGCAACCCTTTTTCAAACCAGTCAGTAGTTCTCACTGCAAGGTGGCATATTAGCCCACAGGTCTTGTTACTTCTTTTCAATGATGAACACTTGAAGCACTAATGCAGTTTTCAGTTTAATTGAAAGAAATAAAACATAATCTAGCTCATAATAAAGTGCCTGTGGGAGCAAATTAACAAACTAAAATTTTAAATGCCATGGCATCCATTTGTGAGTGCAGCATCACTTTTAAGCTCTCAGGAAGAATGCCAATAAATCACACATTGAAATCTTGCTAATATTAAGCTCCTCCACTGTATTTCTCAGATTGTTTTCTTCAGAGGAATATGGAATATGTTACTGTAACTTCTGGCATTGTAAAGGGATTATCAGGTAGTCAGAGATAATTACTCTGGTTCACTAGCCCTTAATCTCAGGTTTTATTAAACTGTTAGAAACTGTTTTCCTTAAATGTGAGTAATCTCAAGGAATTTTAGTGTAAAACAAATGTCAGTAAAAAAAAAAAAAAGTCCACATGCTATGGAAAAATTAAATTTTATTTGACATGATGCTTCTCTCAGAAACACCACTTTTGTGACAACTTCTTCTAATGACACCAGGTGCTGGTGGAACGCAGACAGTGTCCCAAAGTTGCAAATGTATGATAAAGCCCAATGAACAGGACATTGGTGGCATCAAAATATCACATGATATCGGTGTTAATTTCATAAGCAGTATTTTGTAAAAAATGATTAACTGTATTGTAGATTTTGCAGATTGTTTTAAACATTTGTAAGAATTGTGATGCTTCAATTAAAGCTGCATCAATAAAGTGCTAAGACTATGCTTCTCTAAGAGCTTATTTCACATATCTAAAGAAGGCAAAAAAAGATGATCTTGCTTGGCATCTGAAGCAAAAAATACACAGGACCTATGTTTTCTTCACAATTCACATCAAGCTCCCATTACAACCTGATATTGAACATTTATGACACTTATCAAAGTTATGGTCCTTGTCATAAATTTAAAGCTCTGTTTCATTTAGTTTGCAAGGCCTACAAGGTGAGCAGAACGTGGAACATATCAGCAGGCACATAAATGCTCCACACTTTCCAAATTCAAAGCCCACTAACCCTGTTTACTGGAAAAGCAAAGTAGAGCATGCACAGTATTGCCACATGTCAAATCATCAGTCAAACATGAAATCCGTCATGTCCCATTTAAGCGGCTGCCACCTTCACAGACTGCATTTCAAGACCTAACACACAATGGATAAACAAGAACTGCCCCATTCCAAATTTGTAGAACACAACCAAATGCATCCTCTGTTTTTAGTATTCCAAAACTGATCATGCACCAGTTGCTTGTCTCTACCAGGCTAGAGGCGGGACTTCATGATGACACTAGAGAATCATTTAAAGAGGAGGTTAAAGTTCTTCCAACTAGCCTTCAGTCCTTCAATGCACATGCACAGGCCACAGTCACAGATCACTGTGGCTCCTGAAATGGAAGTCAAAGACTGTCTTCCAGTTGAGGTCATTGAGGTAAGGTCACTTCCTCAAAGACATGATAGGTGTGGTGTCAATATATCGCTGTGCCCCAGCAGCTTTTGGATGCAACACAATAGTGTCATCCTCTCTTGACTGTTGCTTGGCGAAATTCACAAAAACCTACAGGAACATAAATGGTAAATGATGAACTGACGGCAGAAGACATGCAAGAATGAAAAAATGTTGCTAGATTTGCTTGAACCATCAGGTGGCCATATGAATTATAATGAGGAAAGATTACGATCTATCAAGTCAAATACCAAATCAAAAAGTAAAGATAAGAAATATAAACAAGACTAAGAATATACAGCCATGGTTGTCTCTCAGTGAGGCTGGACTCAGACAGATCTGAGCTTTAAGCTAAATGCTAACTTCAGCATGCTGTCATGTTCGCAATGACATTACTAACATGTTGATGTTAGGTTTAATGATTACTAGGTTCACCATCTTGGTTTAGCATGTTAGCATGCTAACATTTGCTAATTAGCACTAAACAAAAAGGTATAGCTGAGGCAGATGGGAATGTCACTTGCTTTAGTCATAAACCAAAGTACTGGCCGTTTTAGATTTTTGACCTGATTGTGGCAATAGATGAAAAGCAATGTGATAACTAAAGAGATTAGAATTCATCCTGTGGGGAATATGAACGTGTTTATCAAATTATAGATATGTTGTTGTTAATATATTTCAGCCTGGACCAAAGTGGTGAACCAACATACCATCATACCAACACTACAATGACTAGAGCCACACCGCTTGACAAAAAAAGTTAATGAATTATTCACAATTTGACAAATTTAACTGGTTCTAAACCAAGCCATCTAATCCTCCTGACAGAAATGTGAAAGGAGAAAATGCACACCCCTGTTAAATTCTGATTCATAAATTATGTACACATAATAATATAATAGTAATACGTTATGTTGTATTTTCCTGTGCTCATTTACCTGGTCAAGAGTGGTCTGTGACACTGAGTAGTCTTCTATGTTGAGCTTGTCTTTGTTAGCCAGGACCATTTGAAAGATCCTAGCAAGGGAGGAGGAGGAGATCTTGTACTGTAGAGTGTTGTAGTGTTTCTCTCTCTGGATGCAGCCAGGGAAGGTGTTCTCCATGAATGCTTCGGCAGGGTTCAGGTCTGGTGCACATCCGGGCTTAGCTGCCCTGATCTTCATGGTCACCACGTAGCCATCACCAAACCTATGTTCACAGTGATGAAGGTAAAGCTAAATCAAAGATCAGCAATTTCATAGATTGCTAATTGTGTTTTGTATTCATTGTTGATGAATCTTTGGAGATATTAATATATTTTGAAATTTATGACATTACATGGGATGAAGTAAAACTACTAACTTGTATTTGAGATGCTGAATGGTTCCCAAACACTTAAAGGATCCATTAACCATAATTGCTAAGCGGGTACACAGCGCCTCACATTCCTCCATACTGTAAAGACAGATGGCAAAATTAGAATTAAAACTTGTGCTCATAAATATGCATGCATGTACACACACAAACACCCACACCAGATAGTTTACCTGTGTGAGGTGAGGACCACAGCTCGTCTGTCCTGAATAACACTCATGATCGAGTTCCACAGGAAGCGTCTGGAGAGAGGGTCCATACCTGTAGTGGGTTCATCCTAATGTACAGTAATAGAAACAACATACACATTAATATACACAGAATCTTCCACTATCTTGTCTATCATCTAACCACTCTCATACAACTGTGATCCCCACCCTAAACTTCAAATGCAAACCAGCACTGTCATTAGTGTTGGCCTCACCAGCAGCACCAGCGCAGGGCAGCCTATCATGGCAATGGCTGTAGAGAGTTTCCTCCTGTTACCTCCACTATAGGTTCCAGCACTTTGGCCTGCATCCTCTGACAGACCCAGCTTCTGGATGGCCCACTCTGCAACCTGAGCCAGAGGAGGAGAAGTGCCTCATGTTACAATTCAGTCAAACTTCAGTAAAGTAAAGCTACAGTATATACTTGATTCAGGAACACAATTTGGCAGGGTCATACATTTAAATGACACTATATACAGTTTGTAGTTTCACAAATTGCAGGGTGTCTAACTCTAGCAATATAACTTTATGACTATTTGTGTTTTCTTGCGAGAAAACATCCCCACTGGTTGTCCAAACAAGTTTGCATTTGGTAAAGGAAGGAACAAGCTTGCCAAACATTTGTATGTATAGTGATGTCATTAACTATTTTGGCATTACTGAAATGATATTACTGCCTTAATTACATTCTACGCTCCTCTGATGTGCTTCTACATGTGTGTTTGACGTGCATTCTGCTTGCAATTAAAATTAATAAAAATTTGTCCTCATTTTTTTTAGCTATAACAAGAAGTGCCCGACTGACACTGGGGTTAATATATTAGGCTTGGCGATAGTGTTAATTTTAGACACAAAATATACTATTACTATTTAATATTTTATATATATATATATATATATATATATAAAATACTATATAAGATACACTTCCTGGCAAAAGCTGCATCTCACCCTGCTGATCTCAAACTCTGGAACTCCACGGAGGCGGGCGTAGAGGTGTAGATGTTCTCTACCTGTCAGCAGCTCATCTATGGCATCAAACTGTGGGCAGTATCCCATGTTCTGGTGGACGTCCAGGATGTTGGTCAAAATGCTGAATATTTAGGGGAAAACGCTTGGTGTAAACAATAAGAATGCAAATTACATGCCTCAATATGTATATCAAATTCCATATTAGTTACTTCCAATTTGTAAAACAATTATATATCACTAACCTGTGACCGGCGACTGAGGCCTCTCCTGAGGTGACGTCAATGTTTCCTGTCAACATCTTAAACGTTGTGGTCTTCCCTGCTCCGTTCACCCCCAGGAGACCAAAGCACTGCCGAGGATCAGGAAAAACATGATAGATGAACAATAAAGTGACCAGAATGTTTCCAGTGTGGAGTAAATTGTATCAGTTTAACCGAACATACCTCTCCAGGTGAGACTCCAACACAGATTCGGTCCACTGCAGGGATGATTGTTCCTGTGTAAGTCTGGCAAGGCAAGATGGGAACAAAAGAAGGAGGGATATTTTGTAGTTGATTTTTTGTTTACATGGATTTGAGCATTTTGTGCAGCGTCCATGATTGATTATATTTTGAAAAGAACAATATCTCACCTTGGACAGGTCTTGTACACGTAAAATGTCATTTGTTTTTTCACCATTACAGATTCGCTCTCTTTCTTCTGCCACATCTAAATCTTCTTCCAAAACAGGAGGCTTTGGGCAATCTGATATCCTGCAATGGAAACATTAACTACTCAACTTCAACATTTAGATTATGTTACCTGGTGAAAAAAATGTTACAGCATCCCTGCATTTTTATTACATTATACTTTTCAAAGAGCAATTACTAAAGTACACCTGGCAAGTTTGGTTTTGTAATTCAAGCTCTACTACACTTACCAGTGATCCAGGAAGAAGCGATACTGGAAGAAAATGTTAAGGATGAAATAGACAAATCCCTCAACAGCCATGCAGAATAGGTTCTTCCCAATAAAGTCCCAGTTATAGGGGTCTGGACTGTAGTCCTCACCTGAAGAAATATATAAATGTAACGCCAGTCACTTATGCATTCACACTTTATAAAAAATGATGGGTGTTTTTCCTTGACATAAGGAAGTTACAATAGAAGATACCAACTCTGCACTTAGCTTGGGCCTTAAATGCAAATGTAAGCTATCAGATTTCTGATGCAGCCAACGACCCAACATTCATTCAGTGCGTTGAGATGGGGGCTGACAGTCGCAGGCTTTTGGATATGAGTATGTGTGTGTGTTTTGTAATTACCAAAGCGAGCGTAGATATCAGTCACAGCCTGGTTCATGGCCATGTCTATGAGGCCTCGGCCCAGGCAATAATGGGGGAAGATGAGCAGCATGGTCTTTAACAGCTGGTTGAGGTTGTAGAGAGCCTACACAGAAATCCAACACACACAAATTACGGTGATATGCTAGATACATGGAAGACAGAATTTACAGAGAGAGGGCCTGTGGTCTTACTGTGGTGCCCTCAAAAAGGTCCAAGATGAAAGTGATGGCACTGCTGTTGATGCCAATGAAGAGGTTGATACATGACAAAGAGACGTAGGCTGTGCTGGGGATACTGAATATAAAGGACATGGGGTACATCATGGGTGTCACAGACCAGCTACAAGAGAAAGGGAGAGATCAAAAAAACGCATCAGCTAACACCATGCCAATGGCCCCAATGATATACTATTAGGCACAATCAG